AAGCAGTCTGTGACAAAACAGCTTGTGAGGAAAAAAAAAAAAATTTCCTGAATGATGCTAATGGAGATGACAATTTCCATTAAGATTCAAATCTATTACTAAGGCTTCTGGGGAAAAAGCCTCACACACTTTCCGGTTTCTGCTAGTTAAACACAGTGAGATTCTCACTAAATTCTTTAGCATGACAGGTACAAATAACATCTAAGACAAATTCCAGTAGATTGAGTTGACGGATGTGTACGAACATGGCAATACAATCAGTCCCACAAGGTGCCAGTAATTCTGGCCTGTACTAATTGTGTTAATCAGATGATCACCCTTATAGCCAGTCCCAAATCAAGAGCATGATTAAAGGCTTCTCTGGATCAGAACTCAAGACCTTGCAGAACCAAGCCCTGCGTATACAACTATATAGACCAAGATCTGCCAACCAATGTTTGAAAAAATTTCTTTTCAGTGATGTGAAGTATCTATGGTCTGCTAAATAACGGGGGTGGGGGTGGTGTTCGTTTGTTTGTTGGGCTTGTGGGTTTTGGGGTTTTTTTTGGCGGGGGGTGGGAGGGGTACAATTATCTACATATTTTTTAATAGATAAAGCAATTCTATTGTTTATGACTTCCCCTGGTTAAATGTTGTTCAGGATGATGCCATGGCATAGAAACAGAGTTCACTGATTCAGTGCTGGAGAGTTTGGAGAAGATTCAATCCTAACTGAAGCCAGTAAAAAAAAAAAAAAAAAAAAAAAAAAGACCTGACTAATGTAACAGACCAAGCAGTTTTTATAATTATATTCATTAACTTATTATAGCCTCAAAGGAAAAAGAAAATCATGAAGACAAACACAGGAACAACAATTCAAGACAACAACAGATGCTTCCCAGTTGTTGTTCTATGAATATCCTGGAAGTTCTTCTATTTATCCCTATTTTCATTTATTCAGTAACATCAGTAGTATGCAGGATTCTAGTACGAACAATAAAGAAAGCAATCAAGAAAAATGAGACATGCTTTAATGCATTTATCTTTAAAATGAATGCAAAACAGCATTTTGAATCTTTTTGTAGTTATCAGTCAAAAAGAAATTTCAGTAACAGTAGTAGCGATGTGAATCATGTGATACTAAATTTTGCCATCACTAGAATATATTTTTCCCATGTACATAAAAAACTGTTCTTAACTGACTTGAGAGGTCATCAAGAAGTTTAGGTGATTCTGTTTTGCAGAGCTATTTCTCCCCCTGTAAATCTAATATTTGTAACTGGGTTTTGCCAATATAGCTTTCAGTTCCTCTATGTTAGAAAAGCAGTGATTGAAAATTCACAGGACTTTGCTGTTTATGTGCCAAACACTCTCCTTAACTCTTACAATTTCACTAGAAGGACTGCTACCAGTGCCATGTTCTTGCAGATTTATTCACCGGGACTTTTACTCTAAAGGCTGCAAGACTGAAGCTTTACACAATACAGGAAGTACTGGTAACTGAAAAGTAAAAATAGTAGTATTAGACATTTATTTTGGGTAAAACACAAAGATATTCTTTTGTTGTTCAAAAAGGAAAAAAGTCACAAGAGCAATATAGCAATAAGAATTTAATATTTGGGACTAACAGAATATAGCCATTTGCTCAAGCATACAATACCTGCCAAAATAAGCTATGTGCATCTCCTCTAATTAGTTCTATAGTGTCCCCAATCTGGATATGCAATGGTGGACCATCTTGTGTGGCTGGCTGTGGTATTCCATTGTAGTTTCGAATTACTTGCATTTTTGGTAAACCTGAACAAAAGAAAAAAAAAGAAACAAATAAAACAAAGTCATCATATATATTTTAGTAATGACAATTTATAAAATCTGAAGACCACAAAAGCAACCAATCAACAAAGGGATACTATGTCTTTAATAGCTACCTGACTAAGGCACTAGGGCGATGTCTCAGTAATGTATCATGTACAACCTAATAGAAAAGAACTACTTTGAAAAAAACATCTTTGTCCTCTCTTCTTCTTGGGGTAAAGTTGATTTCATGTCTATGGAGGCTCTTTCCTCTACATGTGCACCCCTGGCTCGGCATAAGGTTGAAATATTAAGGCTATCTTTGTAGTTCAAGGCAAAAATTGTAATGACCCAGTATTAAAGACACCAATATGGATAATCTCATTGGCTTTAGATCTGTATTACTAAAAAGCCTGCTGCTGATGTGAACATGTCCAAGAGAGTAAGGATGACAATCCTTCTAGGCTTCTCGTAAGACTTTTTCTTTTTTTTCTTTTTTTTTTTTTTCTTTCCTGTTTGGTTTTTGGGGTTTGTTTTGGTTTGGTTTTTTTTTAATTTTCAAGTTTTGACAATATTTTTTGATACATGTAGCAAAGCCTGGATCAATTTAAGGTTTCATTTTCAAGACAAGAACTCTAGCTGCACACTAGTCCTTCCACATCAATACTGGCTGCATCTGGACAGCTGATATAGATCTGATTGTCATGTAGTCCCCACCTTTTTTTTTTTAAAGGGAGCAATCCACTTCTTGACACACAAAATATTTTCCCCAAAGATTAGTCTCTCTGCCTGTACATAAATCACTGTTTATAACTACAGTTCCAGAGCCCTCCACAAGCATGTATCAAATGGGGGACGGGAGGGTGGATTTCAGCAGGGAGAAAAACCTGTGCGTACTGTAACTGCATGTTCTTATAACTATAACAGAATTAAAAAAAAAAAAAAAAACAAAACCACAAACAAACCTTAAAGCATTATGGACAGCTAGTGTATTGCACTAAAAGAGCATGCTGTGATATTATAAGAATTCTTGAAATCAAGTGAAGTACCACCCACTTCATAACAAAGATAGTAAAGACTTAAAAGCTTTTAGAAAAGCATTTTTTCCATTCCTTATACTGCCAAGGAAAGCATCATTTTAACATAACAGATCTGTTTTAATCACTCTCCCTCTATCTTTAAATAAAGCTTTATATAATAATTTCCTTGTTTTTAACTGCACGTGGGATGTTAAAAATTGCTACATTTAAGTGGCATATCCATTTATAAACTTAACCAAAAAGTTTTTGTTCAAGTAAGATTTTGTAAGAATGTATATTAATAAATACAAATAAGAGTGAAAGCATGCAAAGTCAAGGTAGCGGAGCTGCCATATTTAACCAGTTTCTTGCTGGAGAGTCACGATTAACTTAATTCTAACAACAAAGGATCAGCAGGCCTATAAAAGACCTATTTCTGTTGCAAAATCACTACTATAATTAAGGTAGCAAGAAATACAAATATCCATTATCTCTTCTAAATTGTATGAAACATGAAAGGGATCACCTTCAATAATTACTACTCTGTATTTAAGAATAAATACTAATCCAAAGTGCTGATGAGACATTAAGCAAAGTAATACTAGCTCTTATGTTACTCAACCCAAATGACACCATAACTTTTTCTATTTCAAGTCACCTGGCATACTGAAAATGAGCACCTAATTGTTAGTAAGCCGTTATTCCAATTAGGTAAATACTAGACTTCACTTTATCTCTCAACTGAAGACTGTCATGCTTTCAAATACTGATTCAGCATCAAGAAATGCTGCATCTATTGCATGGCAAATAGAAGCAATGCTGCATACAAGTATCTACTCAAAGCTGACAACTTCGTCCTAATGCAAGGGAACTACCTCATCACACTATAAATGATAGCTCTGCATATACGATAAACAAGCTGTAAGCATGCACTCATCTTGGAGACATATGTGGAAGTTGAAACAAATGCGCAAAAAATTATTCATGTTATGAAACCTTGTATCAGGTGATTTAGTTTATCACATTTTTAGTGTGCATATACAATATACTTGAAACACTACCTTTGCATTGATCTCATCAGAAGATAATCAAGAAATACTGTCATGCACTTTTCAGTGCAAATCCTGGGGTTTTTTAAAGATACTATACTGCTGACATTAGTAATCACAGACACACGTAAAATGACTACTTATTTCTATTTCACTGGTAATTATGATTATTGGCATCTCTGAAAACCAGGCTAAGAGAACATGGGGAAAAAAAATCACGCTGTGCCAACTAGCAGAATTATTCAAAAGTTAACACAGAATTAATCATGTTAAAACATGTCATGCCTAGAACACGTGTATAATTCAATATGCTTAATTCTGTAAAAATCTACAGCAATTTTGATTATATAATTCCATTGGCAGATACAATGTTGGAAGATTTGATCGAACACCTCTTCACATCACTAGAAATAATCCTATTCATTTAAAACAGGCTAACAGGTTAGGGTCTTAACAGACTTTATTACCTTGCTTCAGATCCCTCCTTAAAACTTCTTTGCCATAACACCTACAGAAACTGCGACAACTACAGCACTGATATGCTACAGCTGCTCTCTACTATGGTGACCAACAAATCTTATTCTTCTACTGTAATTTTACTACCTACTTTTATCCAACTGTTGTCTTTGGTCTACTTAGGAGTTCTTTGTGCTCAATGTTGTCTTTGCTAGGAACACACACTGCCTAGTGTAACGCATACGCACTATCACCAGACCTTATAAACCACTATCTGGAATAACAGGGATACATGGCTATAATACAGAAGAAGATTGTGATTTCATTATTTACTGTATTATTTTCATTCACCCACTTCAGGAACGATACTATGTCCTAGCTTCAAGGCCGCTGACCAAAGATGCACGTATAAACAAGGGAAATTATTTTCTGGTGCTAATTATTTAAGCACGTTAGGCTTGACTCAGATTCTGGAAAGTACTTTGTACCTTGAAGTACAACAACTGAAAGTAAATTCACTCTCCAACAACAGGAGTGTCTGAGTCACAGAGAATATATTCATTTCAATATCACCAATACCAGACACGCATAAACAGCCTGTATTGATCAAAGATATAAAAGCAGTGAATGTACAACTAATGTGTTCTACTTGTTGTATGAAAATATCATCAAAACGACCCATCCCTGTTACATGATTTTAAACATTTTTTAAAAATCAGTTTTTCCAGGAACAAAAGACTAAATGAAATCTTTGAAACAATCAATCAGAAACAAGCACATATTATTCTGGAATAGCTATTTTTCCATGGATAAATGTTCTTCTCGCAGAACTTCCCTTATATCACCATTAAGCACGGAAGAAATAAATGGGGTACAGAAAAGTTACTAAATTGAGGTAAAGAGTCAAAGACGTCCAAACAGAATACTCAACTTTCTTTTCACTATATAATTACAGATTTTATGATAGTAGCTCAGAAACAGTTTAGCAGATTAACATTGAGATGGTGTACATTTAATTGGGTAGAATTTGGTCAGCCCTTCACATCCTAAACCTATACAAAGTACACTGGAGTGTGATGGATCAAGTCCCATCATTATCACAGGAAGCAGCTCAAAATCTTTCAGCTGTTTAGCAACCTTATCCTAAAACTAATTTGTTTCTACTGTTCGTTTTAGAACTTTATTCTGTGAGCATTTAGAATCTTCTACTTTCCAGTGTAAAGTAGTTCATGGCCAACTTACATACATCTAGAGGAGGCAGTCTGAATAGTTCTTTTCCTTGTCTGCATTTATTTTCATAACATAGTTATAGAGAGCAATCATACCCCTTTTAACCTCCATTTTGCTAGGCTAAACGAGCCAAGTTCTTTTAGACTCTTCTCATAACGGATCAATTCTTCTGAGGCAGTATACCACCTGCTTTACTGAAGTTCAGACACACAAGATGTAGAGTATTTTCCCTGTCTATCTTGAAATTTCATTCTTAATTGGCACATGGATTCATCACAAATATACTCATTAAGAATCCTGAGTATTTGCTGTAGTATAATAATGCAGACAAGAAAAAATGGTATGTTACAGAATCCTGAAATGTTTAAAGTGTAATTATGGATTATTTGTGATAGAAACAGTATAGAAACATTATGCATTAATGACTGAAATGTGAAATATGATAAGCATTAGAGACACTGCCATTGTGATGTACATAGCTGCAGTACTGAGAGGATCTGACAACTCCAGAAAGCTTCTGGAAACATATACAGCACAAAAATGTTGTTCATGAGTATGTTTACAAGCAGATAAAATTTGAACACACAGGACAAGGTCAGGATTCAGCCATGCATTACTATAATTAATGTTAATAATCCCATTGGCTTCTATGAGTTCAGATTTCCACATGACTGAAAGTTTTGTCAGGAAACTTTCTAATTTAAAGATGCAAAACCAGGCCTGCAGTTTCCAACCTTGAAATCAAAAAGCAAACTGATCCAGTTATTCCACCAATAAATAGATGAAATTTACTTCAGTTGGAAACCAGGAAAAACCCCAGATTCCTAGAAAAGTCTTCATAGCCAAGCTCTGGGTCACAGACCTAACACAAATTGATAATCTAATTTGTAGCTCATAAGAAAAGCAGAAAGTGTGCTAGAGTCATGGTTTACAAAGTACCAATTCAGCTATGTCATACAAAAATAAAACCTTTCATAAACCATACCACAAATTTGAGTATTTAAACTCATAGTTACAAGTCAAGGAAGAAGGTTACATTTTAGAATTAACATAGTACATAGTAAATTAGAATACCCATTATATATGAAATTATGAGAAAGTATAAACAAACTACTTGTATTCCTTACAGCAGCTCTGCATTTATGAACAGCACTGAATGACCCTCAGAGTTTCAGGCTGAGATTCAAAAATGTTATTTTTTGCTAACAACATGCATAATGCATGCCCTATGATGACCTCTATCTGTCAA